AATTGATTATATTGTAGATTGTATTAATTTGCCTATCCCATTTCAGATGTTGGTCTAATGTAACTCCAAGTAAAATGGCGGATGTAATCTCCTTAACATTATTGTTATTGACTTCAATGGTTATTGGACTAAGATCAGGGAATTTGGATTGGGAATATATTTTCATTATTTTTGTCTTGCCAGGATTAAGAGACATTTTGTTATGGTTAGTCCAGCGGGGCACTGAGGGCATATCTGACTTTAGGGAGACACTAAGTTCGTGAAGGTCCGATCCGGAGGATATTAGTGTAGAGTCATCGGCAAATAAAAAAGGCTTAGAACTTCCAACGTAACTGGGTAAATCGTTAATAAAGATAAGAAAGAGAATTGGTCCTAGTATAGATTCTTGAGGCACACCACACTTTATCAGAGCTGAGTTGGATAGGGATGATGCAATTTGTACTACTTGGTAACGATCATTTAGATACGATTTAAACCATTTTAAAGATATTGGAGTAATGCCATATTGTTCTAATTTCTGCAGTAGCAATCTATGATCGACCAGGTCAAACGCTTTGGAGAGGTCAATTAGAGCTATACCATTAATTAAACCTTGCTCAATGTTATCGAGAAGGTGTTCACAGATCATTATTAGAGTAGATTCACAAGAGTAATGGGCTCGAAAACCATGCTGGCAACTTGATAGAATATCATTTTCTTTGAGGAATTTTACATATGAGTTGGCAACATGTCGTTCGAGGAGTTTAGATAGAATCGGTAATATAGAAATGGGCCTGTAATTGTTTCTCTCAGTACGTGTTTCAGCTTTATAGATTGGAATCAGTCTAGCTTTCTTCCACATGTTGGGAAAGACGCCATTTTCAATGCTCATATTACAAATGCGAAGTATTATGGGTGCAATGGAATGAATCGAGGACTTGATGAAGTAGGCAGGAATACCATCAAGACCGGTTGACTTGTTCTGGTCTAATTCGGCTGCAAGATTTAGTATGTCATCGATTGTTATTAGTGGAATTGTAAACTTAATATGATTTGTTGCAATTGGTAAATGAGTATTAATTGGGTTGTTTAGTAAACTGATATCAAAGTTGTCTGCAATAGAGGAGAAGTATTCATTAAAGAGATCGCCAACCTCGATAGGGTCACTGATCTCCTTGCCATTAATGCTAAGTGTTATTTGGGAGACAGTGTCATTGGTCGGCAAGATATCTTTTAGAATTTTCCATAATTGTCGTGGATTATGTACATTATCAGTCAGGAGGTTCTTATAGTAGTCCTCTTTTGACTTTTTAATAATATGAACAGTTCTATTTCTCCATTTTTGTAGGTACACCATGTGTCAGAGTTTTTGGTTTTTAGAAATTGCTTTAAGAAAAAGTCTCTTTTGCGGCTAAAGCAACGTACTTCAGAATTAAACCACCCCGGCAGTTTATTATTTCTGACTCTACGTTTTATTAAAGGTGCATGCCTATCCGAAATTTTCATAAAGTGAGAGTACCAACAGTCTAATAGATCGTTTGGATCATCAAAGATTTCATAAAGGCTTAACGGGATTTCTTCAACAAGGTCATTGTCAAAATCACTCGCAATAAAATCTTTCTTCCTGCGATAACTAATCGTTGTATGTAAACCTTGTTTAATTGAGATCCTGGAATTAATTTTTCTAGAGATAAAAATTGGCAAATGGTCACTCATCCCAATATCTAGCAAGCCTGATTTAATAACATTATCTTCCTTAGAGGTGAAGATAAGGTCAATTGTTTTACCTGATACTGGCCTGGTAACTGCATCAATAAGTTGTTTAAGCTGATACTGAGATGTTAGAACATGAAGTTGTTGATAAGAATGTTTATCTTGAAAATTTGTGTTTAAGTCCCCTAACATAATTATCTCTTTGTGTTCATCGTCAGCCATGTCTAATACATAGTTTAAGTTATCTCTCCAGAGAGTGTTATTCCCCGGTTGATACATAATGGCCATCAGGAAGGGTTTTGAATTAGGATGCTTAAATTCCAACCAAATAAATTCAAGCGAATAATTATTTTCTTGTAACGAGAAATCATTGCGATATTGAAAATTAATTGTTTCTGGCATATAAATCAGAATACCTCCACCTGAGGCATAAGTTCGGTCCTTCCTAATGAAGTTGAACTCTCTAATTTGCAATTCGTCATCAGACCAGTTAGAATTTAAATGAGAATGTTGAGGAAGGAGAAAAGGACAATGATGAGCCAGGGCTAAAGAGGAGAATATTTGGAGATTTTCTTCCCAAGTCTCACACATGCACCAACATCTTAAAACTGCCAAGAGGAACACATCATCTCCAGATACCTTCCGAAGATGCACTTTTTGAACTTTATGACTTTGCATTTCTCAGTGGCTATTTCGGAAGACGGTAGTTTAAAATGACATTTTGCACTTTGGTAGTTATTGACCACAAGTCCACAGTCATAATGCTGACTTGAGTACATTAATTCAGATTGATTGGGTAATTTAGACCGAACATCAAACATTAGATGTTAAAGGTTGTTTTAAAGTTAACAGTTTTGTTAATTGTTTTGTTTTATGTAGTGGAATACAAACTATGTTGTAGCACATTGCTACATCAAGGTTTACTTCACAACAAGCATCGATAATGGTGTATATAGTACAGGGGGTGGGGATGCTTTCTCGACACTTGCTTGGAAGTATAATAGTCAGGGTATTACCGAAGTCACTGAACTGTGAAATCGCATCAAAAATTCGTATATCAACCACTCCCCAAACGTCTACGACCGCGCCTACATATTTTTGCATGTTTACAATTCTAATTTTAAACAGCCAATCGACGTTTAATTGTAATTATTACCAAGAACCTGATTGGCTGTTTAAAATTAGAATTGTAAACATGCAAAACTATGTAGGCGCGGTCGTAGACGTTTGTGGGAGTGGTCGACATACGAATTTTTGATGCGATTCCACAGTTCGGTGACTTTCATAATATACAGCTGTACTTTGAATGTAGCTTTTAAGAGCATCTACCATTCCCATCTCCCCTGAGAATGTTATACCATTACTGCATAGCTTAATTTTGACATTTGAAAACCAATCAGGCTTGAAATTAAAGTGTTGAACTTTAATGGAAAAAAGAATATTGTACTTTATCTACTTTGCTTGTGCTCTATTAGCTGTACCACAAATTGTAGGACCTCAATGAAAATGTCAATTCCAAAACACGATGAAAGCTTCAAAGCATCAATAGATTGTGTTAATGGAAACACTAGTTCTTCTGAATTAATTCCTGGTATATGAACTGGTGAAACTATGACACAGTTATCACTGTCCTCGAAAGGTGTTGGTCCATCTAGGTCTTCCCCATAAAACCTTGTATCATGAGGGTCATCATCAAGCCCCCCAATAGCTAGTGGATTGTCTTCTCTTAGCATGCCATTAATCCAAAGTTGATTTGGTGTCCAGTTGTGCTCAGTTGAAAGTGGGTGGTTATTAAAACTGTCCATCCACTCATGCAAAGCATAATTTATTCTTTGTAAAAACACCCAATGTAACACAAACATGTGGATTGGGTTATTTCTACATGATGAACCTGCAATGAAACTTTCCCTTCCCTCTCCACGCATAGCAACCATTGTATCACACACTGCGACGTTTTCAACTCCATAATCGACTCTTAACCGTGAAGGCCACAAGCCACCATCACGTTGAATTGCATCTTCGAACAAGGACGAAACTGTTGTTGCAAGGTTATTTGTGCTGCAGTGGAGGAAGTTAATTCTCCTTGAATATCCGTCAATACATCCATGGATAACAAATCCCCATCGGATGAGAGAGTGGTGACCGTCCATGTGCCACATTTAACGAGTTTGGCCAGGGCACAAAGTACTTTCGGCGAGACACAAGTGCACACCACCGTAAAGCTGTATTTCTGGGGTCAACCCTATTCAGACTTTCTCTTATTCGCTTCCGTTGAATGTTGTACCCAAGAGCCCGAAAATGACCTCTTAAATAAACTTCACCTGTAGTTGATCCATGTCTTGATGTGTAAGCATTAATTATTTCATCAACTTCTTGGTCACTAACGTTACTAAACTTTGCTAAGTTTTGTAAGCCGTATTCTCTAACACGACGCATTACTGTCCAACGCGATACTTTAAACATAGCAGCAATTTTTGTCCAGGTGAACCCCAGGCCTCTCAGCTCCTCCAAAAACTCAAGTGGAATGACATAAGGTGGCCTCCCCGGTCCTCCAGTGTGAGCAATTAAAACGGGAAAAGCTGACAGATATGTCGATTGTAACCTTAGTTGATATCTCCAGAGTCTTTCATAAAGTTTAAGAAAAACGGACTGCAAATCCTCTAACAAACGCTTATCCTGGTCATCAACAATACGCATCAACTGCCCTAACCATTTGACAGTTGTATCTAACAAGTTTAAATGTGTCAAAATGTGCTCGTTAACATTTCGCCTGTCATTTTCATTTGCATGTGTTTCGCCCACAAATTCTTCAGTTCTAGTTAAGACTTCCAAAAGGAACTCGTGGCAATTAAAACCAGCCTGGTGGGGATCTTTGTTTACTTCGTTTTCTTCAAGTGCAGGCTCAGCTACGGCGGCCATATTACTTTTGGCTAACCGAGCACTCGGCCCAGTCCTCAAATATTGAATGGATTTTTTAAATATTGAATGAATATTTTTATTGAGTGCATATTGTTACAGGATTAAATTAAATACATATACACACAAATGATTAAATTGAATGAACATATTATATTGAATTGAATGTGTATAAAAGATTTTAAACTGAAAGAATATAACTTTATTAAAGGTATAACAGGTTAAATTGAATGAATATTTTATATTGAATTGAATGTGTATAAAAGATTGAACTGAAGGAATATAACTTAAATGTATAATAGATTAAATTGAATAAACATATTATATTGAATTGAATGTGTATAAAAGATTAAACTGAAAGAATATAACTTTATTAAATGTATAATAGATTAAATTGAATGAATAATTTTATATTGAATATTGCTACAAATGGGCAGGCATACACAGGTAAGTTGATCAACTTGATTGTTATTGAGTAGTTCTTTTTAAACTTTGTGTTTTTTTGTTGTGTAAATTATGTCTCAGGAATCCAGTCAGTGGTGGCGCCAAGGAGGGGCTAGGTGGGGGGGGGGGGAAGCACGATCTTGTCGCCATGCTCGTTCTCCCCCATGTTATTACGTTTATTATTAGCATGACAAAATTACTGGATGCTGATTGGTTGAGAGGAGTACACTTATTTCATTAATTGTACTGCAGTACAATTAATGATTTTCCCAAAACAAACAAAATGGCGGAAAGGGATTTTAAACACAGATATGAAATGAAATTGCCGTGAAGGAACTAGATGAAAATACGAACAAAAGCTCCAAATTTTGCTTGAAAAAAAGAACTAAATGAAAATACAAACAAAAACACCAAATTTTGGTTGAAAGTCTGGCAAAACTGGGCTTTGCGAGAGAATATGATGTTGACATTGAGAAGTACGTATTCAGTTTCGCCATGCTAATAATAAACAAGTATCGATTGGCAAAATTTCCAAACATCACTCGTACTATTAATCCCTAATTGTACCCGCTATCGCATGATTACCTATACTAATGAATCATTTATATTAATACTCATTCACTCCAATTTGAAAATCGGAAAGCAATACTCGCTCTAAAAACGTATTTGGCCGTACGCTCTAAAGTTCGGTGCACAGTTTCCAATGAGGTTTTGTTTCCCGACGTTTTCTACGTCTACGTATTCTACGTCGGGAAACATACAAAATCTAAACACAAAGACATTTACGCGCCTGGTCGTCAGGCAGCCGTAACTATTGAGTTGGATAAGTCTGATACTCGTCAGAGTAAAGTCACTCCCACAAACGTCTACAACCGCATCTACATATTTTTGCATGTTTACAATCCTAATTTTAAACGGTCAATCCGGTTCTTGGCAACAATTAGAGGCCGACCATTTAACTTTTGAGGGGAGAGGGGGAAGATTTTGAAAAAAAATTCCCTGCAAGGCTATTCTGAACGAAAATCATACCTGCACTAACAAACTGGGGGGGGGGGGAATATCCTGCCACAGTATTTGGTGGGGAAATAATGTTGCAAAACAGCATGGTTGTAGGGATCGATTTGACCAGTCCCAGAAGATCAGCTGGTTTGATTTTCAGGTGCTAGTGTAAGGTTAATTTCTTGTTGGAAAACTCCTCAAAATGCTGGAAATAGCTTATCTGAGCTTCAAGAAATCCAAAACTTTCTGGGGGGGCATGCCCCCAGACTTCTCTAGAGGCTCGCACTTTCGGTGGTCGACTCGGTTGTCTCAGAATCCTAGTTATGGCCTGATCTGCTGCCCTATGACGTGTACTTATTAGTTTAACCATGCATATATATGCTTCAGGTAGCTGTAGTGATACAGGCTTGCCGACTGGAACTTCTCCAGATCCCCCGCTAATTATGTCCCCTCCAGTTACACATCCTTAAAAGAGGCCCTGAACCAAATGTTATACCTCATAGCAATATGTATTATTAAAAGCAATGCATGAAGCTAGAAAACTCAACGTTAACTATAATTAAAGAATCTAAATAGTATAAGCTATTGAAAAAAAAAAATGCTGCGAAAGAGAGAGTGACAAAAACGAATCGTACATGGTGATGGGATAGGAAAAAAATCTTGCATATAACGACCCAGAAAAAATTCCCTGCCAGCAGTAAATCACCCATCCCCCCTCAAAATTTAAATGGTCGGCCCCTTACAATGAAACGTCGTTGGCTGTTTAAAATTAGAATTGTAAACATGCAAAAATATGTAGGTTCGGTCGTAAACGTTTGTGGGAGTGGCGACGATACAAATGAATATTTTGAATATTTGAGGAATGCCAGGTCGAAAAATGGCCTCGTGCTGGCGCCATCGAAGGGGTGGAAGCCGAACACTGTGACCATCCAGCTCCATTCAAAGAGAGCAAAATCTACCCCCAAAGTCTTGTCACAGTTCTGACGGCAATGACCATTCAAATATCCAGCAAGGTACCGTAAACGAACCAAAACAATCTCACGGAAATCACGAAGTAGATTATATTATTATTGTTATTATTATTGTTTGATTGTGATCAATCTGAAGATACATGTACCGAGTTTGTACGGAGCGCCCGATTTCGACTCCGAGATTGATGATGAGCTTGATAATGACAATCTCCTCTGAAATATTGTCCAAAACGTGTCTTTTAAAGAACAAGCTAGCCTTCCCATTTCTGAAAATTTGGCCAAAGGTGAGGATTTTTATGTTCCAAAATTAAAAGAAATTTTAAGAAAATACAAGCGGTCAGAGAATTGTGATCAGATGCATGATATGTTCCTAGAGCTAATTAGAAAACGTATGGCAGAAAATGAAGCTATTTGCCAAAAAGGCTGATATTATAAAGGAGCTCTCAGGCTTGGTCAATAGCATAATACTTTATTGGAATGCCGGGGAACCTAATCATCCCAAATTACAGAGCTCTATTCTTCCCAAATCGTTTGAAACGACAGCTTTGTTTGGCAATGTACGTAAAGAGCTTTCATGTAATAAGCATAAAGAGGCAGTTCGGCGATGCCCTACCTTGATTTTAAACCATTGTGTTCAAGGACTCACAAAGTTTGTCCTCAATTGTTTGTGGAAGATCTACTAAGAAAGCTCAAGACATTCGAAGCTCTAGTAAAACAGTTAAGAGCTCAACCTTCCATTCAGAGCAAACATTTAAAGCATCAGCGAAATGGAAACGATTTATCCTGTAGCTGGTTATTTCGATTGTATAATAAAAGTCTATATTGGAAGTTGATCATAGCAACATGAAATGTATCGACGTCTTTGTTGCCATGTAACTTCGGTTGCTTAAAATCCATTGCAAGGTTGATGGAATCATTCGAATCGGCGTAATAAGCTCTATTTACACACCAAGTTTCATGCGGTTACGAATTAATGTGCAACTTTCATAAACAATTTTGTAAATTTCAACGCGGTCCGTGTTGTGGCTAAATGCGCTTGTTTCCTACGGCATTGAAACCACCGGCAATTGATTCCGCATTACGTAATTGATATCCAGCATGAATTTAATCAAGGGCAAGCCTTACAGTACATGATGTTTTATCGGCTGCTGGACCAAGCGTGTGCATATATGAGTCACGTGAAGTCTTTTTCGTTCAAAGGTCAAGAACAAGTGCAGGTTTAGTCGGAATACTCTATTTCTCTATATTTTCTATACAATTTACTTACACATTTTGGTATAGTAACAAGTTCTCGTATTATTTTTTTGTGTATTCTATGATCATGATATTTTTTGTATGTGTTTTGAGGTGAATATAATGTTTTTGATGTTATGCGAGCGTATATAGCCACAACGAGCAGGCTCTCAGGTGCGTTAATGACTGGGACAAAAAGTTATTAGTTCCCAGTGCCTTTTGTGAAAGTAGCGAATTTAGGCGTACAATTTCCGTCTTTTTTTTCGAACATGGCGTCGGAAGAGAGTGCATGGTGTTTATTTTATATACTGTATGGTATTAAATTGAAGATTGGCAAGAAACTGTTTCTGTATTAATACCGATCGTAGTTATAGTTCGTTTAAAGGTTTGTATTCTATTTATTGGTACTGTTTTCATAGTATAGCCTTTACGGCTTTATAGTTTTGCTTTGTTTATATTTATATATTTTACAGTCACTATAAATAACATTAATACTGCCATTGAAAGCCAGTATTAGGAAGGATTCTCGCTTGTGTTTATACTGATTCTAACAATGGCGATAGCCCAAAATAGATTTACTCACAAATTTCTGGGAGTATTAAAAATCATAGTCTTACCTGCTGAGAGTTGCTATGAAAAGTGAGCCAACCAGATACATTCCTTTTATTCCCTTTTAAGACTTTTAAAATCAACTGCAATACGTACATTCTATAATTTTTACCAAGAACCAAACACAAACAAGACTGTGGAGACAAGAACGCTTGTTATGGCCTTGTCTCCACTTATTTTAATACATTTAATTAATTGAAGAATCAATTTCATATGATACAAATATTTACATCTTACAGTATGTTTGGCATGCAATGTATTCACTCATTTTAGTAGTGCTCTTTATTATTAAAATATGTAGGACTTATCCTCAGAACGGCGAGAGCCCACTTACATTTCAATACTATTCAAACATATTTCATGTTCCATTAGATCTGGATAGCTATTCAATGTATACTGTGCACATCCATATATAGAGTAGCTTTGCCATCTAGCTGGGCCATTTGTGATATTAATTTTTGTCCAGTGCAGTCGACTATTAAAGTGCCTATATCACTTGTGGGATCTTTACGGATTTGAAAAGAGCGCAAAAAGTTATTTCACAAGTTCTTCAACCTTTTTTGATTTAGGTCAATAGTTTCTGAGATATAGGCCCTCAAACATGGCAATTTTGACCTTTTTGAAAAAAAAATCCGTCGTACTAAATTTTGCTTGGGGGCCTGGGACTCAGGAACGCGGCGTAAACAAACACTATAAATTATATTACAAATTGCCGCTATAACTTACTAAAATGATAATTTTGGCAAGAAAACTCGGTTTATTTAGCTCAAAATCGTCTTCCAGTACTGACAAAAGTTCATATACGATTGCGCGAAATATAAAATCGTGGTGAAACGCACAAAACGACTTCAAAATCAAATTTGAAAGTGAGCCTTCCTAAATGTCGTCAAGCATATTTGGCTGTAATGCTGTATATTATTAAATTGTCGAGCATGAAAGAGTTGGCATACACGGAAGAGTATGTTTTGAAAGCTAGAAGAATATAACAGGGATGTAAAGAAATTATTTATAGATGGAACGGGCATAATCGTGTTAGTTCTCGGTAAGTGAATCGAATATTTTCCATTTGTAAATATCGTGTGATAGTCACATTTGGCAATTAATATTCTGCGACTGCAAGTAAACAAACGAAAAATTGTGTATTTTAGATTCAATACTATTATAGCTTAACTATTGAAAAACACTATAAAATTTGATATAGACAAGGGAGGGATAACCGGTTTGATTTGCCATTCACAAAATATGCAGGAATTGATTCTGTTTGCCTCAATTGCTTTTGATCTGATCATTTGAAAAGATTTATTGCACAAACATGTGGTATAAGCTGATTCAAAGGAGAAGTAATTTTTGAGTCTTAACTTAATATTTTTATAAACTTTGGACTTATTCAGTTTAATAGGACCATGCAAAGTTTCTGTTTATTATAGGAATAGGTTAATGCACCTTGCTAATGTCAAGGCAAAGCTTGAGCTGCACAGATTACTGTGTCTTGACTCTTGAATAAGCTGTATAACAGCTAGATCACTGGTTTGCCTCATCTTTAAAGAATACATTAAAGAATACATTATTAAAGTCTAAGGTATAATTATATCTCTACTTTTAGGTCTTTATATCAGTGGCATGCATGTGATTCGCCAGATTAGCTCATGGTTGTAAAAAAGATGAAATAATACCATTGTGTTCTGTTCATCAAACTATCTGCAGTTTTTAATGGAAAGATGATGACTTCAAAGGATATGAATATTTGGAAAATGAGAAATAAGAAATATAATTTTAAAGCACGACTAACCACAAATATGATTTTTGGTATGTGCAATATATGTGTCATTCGTTCGAAGAAATGTTATCTCTATAATAAAAAATCCCCTTCTTCATCGACCTTTTCACTGTCAAAGTTTCCAGATATGATGTCATTAGGTGAATTTTTACTATAAAGATACATTACATTTCTTATTAGAATTTTGACCCAAATATCACACAAACCAAAAATTCTATTTGGCTTTAATAGTCCAACTTTAATTAATGCATGCTTGATTTTTTTGTCATTAACTTGCATTTAATAAAGTTACAGCACACATAGTGCACAAATAATATCTTAGTTTATTTTTTTTTTAAAAATCAACAGACAAAGGAGTCAAACTCATGAAAAAAAAACTGAATTCATGCTACTGTGTACAGGAAAATGTTTATTTAAAAACTTGATCAACAAGAACAGCTTAGGAAGACAGGTTATACAGAATTGAATAATAGTTGAAGGGTCTTGTATAGATGGAAATTATCGAGTAGAAGTTTATATGCATTTATTATACCTAACCAGGAAAAGTTGTGAAAAATCGAAATGCAACTGCTGATCGCTGGCAGAAATCCAACCTGCCCTGCAATTCCGGTGCAGCGCTTGCTGTAACCAATATATACAGGGGTGGAAAAAATAGGTGAGCACTGCTCATGCGCAGTAAATGTTAAACAGCTGCAGGAAATTTGTTTGAATGAAGATTTGCTATTGATTAACATTTGAAGGAAACCTTAACACCCATGTCCCACTATGGGTCCAACAACATATGGTTGACAGACATTCCTTGAATTTAAAACCATGTTCAGCTAGAACACTATATAAGTTTATGCACATGCAGATTTAGCACAAAAATACTCTAATACTAATAAAGGAAATTTTTGTCTCCAGGTTGTGCTCCCGGGAACATGGCTTCTCACTCAATTCAATAATAGTTGAAGGGTCTTGTATAGAGGGATATTTAATAAATGTATATAAATTTCCACTCAATAATTTTCATCTGTACAAGACCATTCAAACAGGGTCAGCCCTGCAAACCAGGCACACATAAACTGGCCTGGATCCTTGCAGATGTCATCATGGCTCCAACCCTCACAAGTTCAGGTTGTTTGGCAAGGGTTGGAATGTTGGGAGCTTTACCATTTAATAACAGCAAAGCCATAAATTCAAGCCAAGTATTTATATATTGGTCTATTGCAGCAATAAAGCTAATACAATCATTGAATCATGAAATGTATTGTGATTTTCAACAGTACAAAATAGAATCGAAAAAGCTCCTCCTTTACTTAATTTTTATATCCCAATAATTCAAGCTGCAAAACATAATTACTCAAAGACAACCCAAAATATGGTATTAAAATGGCAAAACATTTACATATAGAAAATATATTATTCACTTTAATACAAAAACTATCACGATATACTGTACATGTAAGGTCCGTTTCATGTGAAAATGAATTTCCTTATTTCCTTGTTCTATTCTTCCAACTTTCAAACGTATTCTTTGGCCCATATTTCGTCAGTGTACACATTTTCATGCTCGACGAAGCTAGATGCCATCTACGAAGGAGCACTTTCAAATTTGATTTTGAAGTGGTTTTGTACGTTTCACCTTCAATTTTATATCCAGCGCAATCGTAGGAACTTTTTTCAGTACCAGAGGGCGATTTTGAGCTTAATAAACCGACGTTTCTTGCAAAAATTCTCACTTTAGTAAGTTACAGCGTCAAAATATAATACAATTCTATATAGTGATGGGCGATACCGAGTACTCGGTATTCGATACCAGCGATACCACAAACAGCGGTATCGGTATCGATTACTGACGTAGTATCGTTCGATACTTGCAGCCTTTTTAAAACGACTTGTTTAATTTCACTTCTTGGTTGAATAAGACTTAATGAACCACTAAAATAACTCTTAATATTCCAAATGTGGTGCGCCAAGTCATGTATAGAAAATAATTATTATGTTTCGGGCTTTTGGTTTACATATAGCATTATTTAGATTACATACAGTAATGAAAAATGTTTTTCCGCTGACCGGCAGGTATCGAAAGTAGCCGATACTAGCAATTTAAGTACTCACTTCCGGTATCGAAAATTGAAATTTTGTGTTCATTTTGGTATCGAAATAGGTATCGGTATCGGC